ATAATCATTCGATTATATCATTATGTGAAATAATGATAATCAACTTAAGCATGAAATAACCAGTTATTTACTCGAAGGAAAATTCAAGCAATCAATGTACATAACACAATGACTTAAGAATTTTTACAGAACAAAAATTTTGCTAAAAAATTAAAAGTTGAATTAATAAAATATCACATATTATTAAGCTCAGAGTCGATAACATTACCGTACTTCATTGATAGGTCCTTTCCTAGCCCTAGCTAAATCTTTTAGCCAAACATGACGAACTAAAAACAAAATAAAAAGATGGAAAAAAGAATAATAATCTCTAAATGAGAATCCCTATTTATACTAAAAATAAATCCTAAGTATAGGTAGAAGATATAAGGTTGACTTAAAAGGAATTAATTTCCCAAAAAGAAGTCTTGTAAGATTAAATCACGTGCATAAAATAATTGGGGGCGCGGGTACAAAATTTGTCTAAATTTCGATCTTGGATTTCACATATTTAAAGGTTGATTCACAAAAATTGCGTGAAATACACTTTTGTAGCCCTTGAAGTCTTCTTTCCAACCCCCAAACATCAAATAAATCAGATATCGGAATCCAAAGTTATGACAAACATACTAAAAACGTGTCAAATCCTTATTTTCTAGGATACTTTCCTAATTCAACTCTAAATGAGTTTTTTTCCAACTTGAACTCTTATAAGGATTAAATTGCTGTCATATTTTTAAATCTTCTTATTTCAATCTTAACTCTTCAATCCTTATCAATTGTGATTCTTCCTCTAAAAATTGTTTCACTTGTTTTATCCATTATTACTTTAAATCAACCAATTTACCTGTAAAATAAATCAAATAACTAGAAAAAGTATCAAACTAAAAAATTAAGGAATTTAACACATTTAATCACAAATAATATGCAATTAACTAATCATTAAATATAATAAAATAACAAATTTGATGATTAATCATGGGGTTTTTAATTTATAGTCGCCTCTTAACAGATTGAAACGACTTAATAGTAACTAAATAGTTAATCTAGTGGAGCTGGCGACCTCTTATCAACAGATGAGGTAGTTACATTGCTTTTCATAAGATTCGGTCAAAAGATGAGATGGTAGTTGATTTCTTCTAAGGTGGCTTGGATTAGACTTTTGGAATGACTCTTACTCTAAGGTGGCTAGGAATAGACTCTTTGATGACCCTTACTCCAAAGGTGGCTAGGAAAAGACTTTTGGAGACCCCGCTTACTCCCTTGGTGAGCTTAACCGGCTGTAGACCCATTTGAAATGGATATTAGATGTTTATAAGTTTGACCTCTTAATTAAGGTTGGACTCGTAGTATAAATTGGCCCTTTGACCTGACCCATCACCTAATAATCATGGCGTTGGCTTAATCTACATGTTGGACATGCTCATACGGATATGACAAGCGTTTAATCGGGTCTGTGCCATTGTGGATGTAGACAAAAATCAATTTTATAAGCAGACAAAATCTTATATATGGACTTGTCTATGGTTAAAAAAAAAAAAAATTAGTATTATACCTCTATTTATCATATTTATAAATATTTTTATTATTCTTGTGAAAAATTTTATCACCTTTGTATTACTAAAAAAATAATAAAAATAATTATCACAATAGTCATAAAAAAGCACACAATAATTATAAAACTACATATAAATGTGATAAATCATCCATAAAAATAATAATTTTTTTATATCGAAGAAAGATGATAAGAATAATTATCAACAGAGATAAATCACCCACAAAAATCCTTTAAAAGTATTAAATTCATTCAAATCCGAGTAATTTAGTTGAGTTTGATTTTAAAAATATTTACACATATGATTCAAATCCAAAAATTTATATCAAAATCTAAATTCATAAAATATGATATAACGAGAGTAGGACTTCGAATTCAGATGTAAAATCTGATCCATTGACGGATCAATGCATCATGCACGTACCAGCAGACATTTACTTTTTGGACCCTCATAATTTTCCTTTTAAAACCTAAGGTAGTATACCTATACATCTAGGAGTAGTTTACGGTACTTTAAAAAAAAAATTGGTATTGCACCGCCATTATAAAATGTGGGGTTTGTTTGATAAATTTGAGGGGTAATTTACAATCTTTGTGGATCATTTACAATTTTTGTGAATAAAAAAAAATTGAATTATCAAAAAATCACAGGGAGCAAAATATCATATAGGTAAAAAATAGTAATTAACAATTCAAGGTTTTTTTGAGGTAATTGTGAATTGATTGGATAATTATCTAATTATATTTCAATGGTAAACATTGATCTACATCAATAAATTGAAATCTTTTTGGATTTTAAAATTTAGAGTGTTTTTCGAATATGAAATTTTGTTGAAGTGGTGCAATCCTCACCATTCAAAATAAAAAATAAAAAATTGAGGATTCCCCAGCTATTAAAATTTGTATAGGGGCCAATACAGGATTTGGAAGGAGGATACATAGATCTATGATGGTCCATTTGCTATGAAGAAAAAGTGTCAAGGATTGAAAAACCAAAAAATAAAAAATAAAATGAAAAAATAAATAAAATATCATATTTGATATGAAAAGAATATGAGAAGGATAAAAAAGTTGAAGGATTATATTTCCTTTTAGCTCACCAAAATTAAGAGAAATAACGAATGGAAAAGTTAATTATGTATGTTAAAAAGTATGTATATGTCGTATTTATCTATTATATATTATGTACAGATTAATTTCATATATAGATACAATAATAAAATATACATTTATATATACTTGTTCTTTCCTTTCATTCTTTCATCCATACCAAACAAAAAAAAGAGGAAAGTAGAGTTTTCATAAAAAAATTATCATTGCTATTTTTCATCCTTTCGTTTTTCGATTCATCTTTCAAATACACCATTAGACTTTAACATTTATCCGAGGAGAAATATTAATGGAACCTTATACTCAATTTGTTGATGTAATAATATGACAGATGGCATGATTAAAATCGCATTGTTGGAATTATGTCTACTATTATATGTATCTCAATAGATTTTTAGCCTATGAAAAAATTATCAACGGTGGGTATGTATGACAAATATATGGGATTTAAGTATTAAATTTTAATTTAAGGGTTAATTTGAATACATAACAATAATAATCAGATCGAATTAGCATCAAGACATCTAAATCAATCAATTAGTATCAAGAATTATTCTATACTATATGGTGGGAAACTTTAATCTTTCTGTTTGCAAGGAATCCCACATCGCCACAATGGAAAAAACGAAAAACGGATCGATGAATATATTTAAATAATAATTTTTATAATAAATAATTAAATTGAATAATAAATTATGTGTAAAATAATTAATTCTTATTTCAATTATTGTTAAACCACCTTATTGATCTATTGTACCCCTGTTTGAGTATTTAATCTATTATTTGTTTAGGTATTTCTCCGACCCGTTATCCATTTTATTTTTCTTTTCATTTAGTCTATGACGAAGTTTCATTGTAAGATTATCATTATTGAGTACTTTCATGTTTAATTATATTATAAATTTATTATATTTTTTTTTTCAAAAAAAATTGATGAAATTCCAATACTATTATATATTATAATAATACGATACTTTTGCATACCAAAAAATCAAATATGATATATATTTGACTAAATACTATTGATAAAAGAGTTAAAAAGAATTTATAAGTCAACACTATTAATAAAAGAATTTAAATGAACTTAAAAGTCAAATAGGTATAAGAAGTAAAAATTAGGTGAAAGTAGTATATGGGTATCATTAACTTTATAATAATAATTAGGGACAATAAAAAATTAAATTTTTTTCACAAATTCTAAAAGGGAGTGGTGGTCCTAATTGAATCTATAATCAGTATAGATTGATAAGAATATACTAAATCGAATATAAAATCTGTCACAACACGTGGATATGAAAAGGTGGTAGTGGTCCTAATCTATTTCCATTTAATTACATGGGCCGTGGGTTGCTGGGTTGGCGGGCACTACCCCCAGCTGTCTTTTTAGAAAAGTTGTCCATATAAGTTAATATAAATTATTAGCGATGAATATGGATATTGATGTAGAAGTATGAAAACATTAGCTTAGCTGGTACCTGCTTCTACATGTTGGAGTCTTAATCAAGTACCAAACACAGCGTAAGAACGGGCTCAAGTTTTCTTCCAATATAGAGCACTAAATGATTTTACACCTTTGGGTGGCCAAAATTATGGAGTTGTGGGAACGGAGTGCAAAGAGAGGGGAAGAAAATATCGACAATAACTGGGAGATCATCCCATGCCTTCAGTTAGTCCTTCGTTGATTTGTACAGATCTTTCTAATTTGTTATACTCGGTTTTTTTGATGGACGATACCAAATTAATAGACCTTGTGTTAATCGAACCGCGTTTACACACCAAGAAATTAAGAACATAGATTCAATAGCTAGACAAGATGTCTAAATAAGAACATCCACGCCCAGACTAATAAACTATTCATATCAAAAGGGCGAGTTTGAAATCGAGCCGAACCTAAGTAATTCGATTATTTTACATATAAACGAACTAAATTTTACGGGTTTAAATCGAGTCTAAAATATTGTTCAAGTTTAGCTCGTTTAAAATATGAGTCGAACTCGAATCGAATCTTATCCGAGCTGAATAACTCGATTAACACTAGTACCGATCACCCGCGCAAGTCACCTTCCCATTGCATTGCATCAAACAAAGGCTTAAACCGCTTCTTCTGTTTTTTGGGTCCAGCTAATACACGGGGAGAGGGAGGAATTTAATATGAGCAATGCTATTAAAATTTAATTTATTGATCTAATTTGTTGACTAAATTAAACATTGAAACTTTGTATTTATTGAATAGTTATAATGAACCCACATCTTAGCATTAGTAGTTTGTCAAATTCTGCTTAGTTTCATCAGCATTGTTGGTTTGCTCATTTGAGCTACAGATTCATCGCCTCCTATATATTCTTCCATCGTCCCCTTAAAACCAATTCAATTCGACCCAGTCCCACAAGAAATCATTATCAACAGACACATCCCAATCCCAGCTACCATTTTCCATAACTTGACAAGGATTATTGGCAATGGTGCCGTCTCCCAAGGACGCGTTATGAGTTGGTGGGCTTATTCTGATCTCTGTTAATTGCTGGTGTTGATGAGATGTTGCCTCATTACCAGGACGAGGTTGGTGAACTGTTTCTTCACTTCTCACTACTTCTGACGGTTGTGGTCTGTTGTATGTTCGTAAGCTTGTCGATTTTAAGTAGACTCGGCACAAACTGATTTCTTGTCTTAACTGCATAATTTGAGGAAATAATAAGATAAAATAGGCAGAAGATATCATGGATGAGATTTTTCTATCCACGAGCTAAAATTAATTTGTGGTAGTTACAAATACATACCTTGATGCAAGGGAAGGTCTATTCATCGATAGGATTAATGATAGAACTATGCATTGCACATTTTGTACACAGCTAGTGTTTAAACACTTCAAACTGTTCCCAAATCAACAATAAATTTTACCTTTGGTGGAGTTGCATTACTTGATGAAGAAGTTTCTCCTTCAATGGCTCTATACTCATTCATCTTCCACTCGGTCTTTCTTCCGTCCGGAACTCTTCCTCTATAGAAAACCATGGTTCTCTTCACTCCAATTATTCCATTATTCGAGTATACATAGCCCAGAGAACCACTGGCTTTCCAATATCCGGTAGTTGTGAGCCGATTAGGCCTTCCTCCATGAGCTTCTCTCTCTTGCCGAGGGACAAAGAAAAACCACTGGTCAATGTTTCCCTGACATAACTCTCCTGCAAATCCTGGCTCCAAACCCCCCACCCCCCCCCAAAAAAAAAAAAGCATGGAAGTGAGCTTTTCATGATCTTGGTTGGATTCTAGTTTTCTTACTACAAGTCTATACTAAATGGAGCTTGTAGAACAAAAAATAAAGTAGTAAAGGTTTAAACAAAGTGAGAAACCAAAAGGCTAAGTGAAAATTAAATCTCACATATTTCTGTTATCTTGTGAACTATGAAGAGTAAAGAAAATTAAAGTAAAGTAAAGATGATATAATTGAACTGTTAGAACTATACGACACTTATAAGAATCATCGAAACATAGAAAATGAAACTGCAAGATGAGAATTTTACTAACGTGGGAGGTCCCATGGACTGTACTTGTATATATCAACAACCGGTATTACCGGGTCGAGGTCTTGTCTAGTTCCTTCAAGCTTGTTATTCAGATAGAATGAAACTAATTCTTCTTCGGTTGGGTAGAACCTAAAACCTGGTGCCTGATTATCCATATCTCTTTCTCTCTCTCTACCAACTTTTATTCGAGATATAAGTGTATGTATGTATATCAAACTTGTCCCTCAATCCAGGCTTATTTTCACCTATGTTTTAGTTGTGTATTTAAGGTGACGAGAGAAATGAGCAAAAAAAAAAAAAAAGGTGGAGATAGAGAAAGGAGAGAAAGTAGAAAAGGTTGATGCCGTTCACATATGACGCTGCTTCACCGGAAAACTCCCACGCGGCTGTGGAAGAGAATTTTGTTCTCGTCACTTCTGTTTTACGTCCAATACCTTCGATACATCTGTTATTGCCTTGGAACAAGCTTCAATTGTCAAACACCTAATGTTTGCCTACTTTAGTTGGAAGACAAGCTTCTCGGATGTTTCTGTTCTTAAAAGAAATAATATTATTTAAATTTAATTTACTCGTACAATTAATTACTATCATTGAATTGATTATGAATCTCCACAAATATTGAAATTCACTATTAAGGGCTAAGTCAAGAATATCAATGAGGGGAGAGGACTGCAAAATATAACTGAAAGTAATTCACGAATGACAAAAAATTAACACTCGAAAATAAAATTATTGTGAAATAGTAAATTTAATTTTTATTTAATTGAAATAAAATCTGAACAAAATGACACAAAATAATTTTTTTAGTATATTTTATATTTTAACCCAATTATATTTATTTCAATAAAATATAAGTCCGTAATAAAATCATTTTTCATTTATTTGCAAAATTTAGTGGAAATTAGTATCGATCTTAAAGAGAAATGCCCTATTCGAAATAGCTTGAAATTTTGTTGGGTTATAACTTTTTATCTTTTGTATACAATTGTTTTTTTATTGAGTTATAAACTATTAGTACTAAAAAAATGGTAAATTAAAACAAAAAATTATTCTTAAAAAGTAGTGAACATTGTATTAGATAAAGAGAAATATTATCTTTTGGTAAATATAATGTATTAAATAATTTTGTAGGTCCTGCTAACTTTGCCATAACCTTTTTTTTTTAATGAAAATCAAAGATATTAAAAAAAAAAAAATTGGACCTAAGTCCTTGGACATGGACGTGGGTTGATGGAATGAATATGGGTTAATGCGCAGCCTAATAACAAGTTTTGTTTTGATCATTGATGAGTTATGCAATGTGCATAGTGCTACTGACTTGCCAAATAAGAAACTTAAAACCATTGAAATAACTCACTGCTCTCTCTCTCTCTCTTTTGGAGCATGGGTATTTTGTTTTTGAGAAATTGTTTTATGAACTTGGCATGCCACGGCATTATGGTGCTCATTGTAGGATCAATAGATCCTACAAACTCACATTAACTAGCTATCGATCTAATAATTATTAGAGCAATGATACATTAAAATTAAAAATTAAACTTAATAATTATAATTATTGATTTTATTATGGATCTCAACATTTATTGGGACTAATTACCAATTAATGTGTCATATTATTTGGGATCCAAATAATAAAAAAAATATGTATTTATATTAAATTAATGAGAAAAGAAAAATGAGTTGAATTGGATAACTATATGGACCCATGTCTTTTTTTTATTTATACAAGACCTATATATATGATAAATAAGTCACGTCTTAGTGGAAATACCATAGTTCCATGACTAGTAATAAAGCGACTATATTTTTTTTTCAATTATCTCTCACCATTAATAAGCGAGTAATTTAAGGGGGTTAATCGTGTCGTGTAGTGTCATTTTCATATCGTATCATTTTTTATCGTGTTATTTTCGTATCATGTCACTTTTAGTACATGTTAGATTCGTGTAAATAAAAAAATATTTAATTCGATAACAACTAATATAATACTATATAAAAAATTATAAAATTATTATTTTTTGTCTACAATACATATTAAATAATTATTTTTTTATCTATAGTACTCATTAATTGTGTTATTCATTTCGAATTTTAATTTAACCTATTTATTACTTGTGTCAACTAATAATGTTATTTTCAAATTTTGTGTTAAATTTGTATTAACCGATAAAATTGACACTCTTGACTTATATACTTGTATAGAATAAATTCCACTAAAATGTATAATAGACGATCTGTAAAAAAAAAAATATATGGGAGCGAATGTCCCTTCAGTACGAGGAGGGGCGTGTTTGTGTGTGTCTGTGTCGGCAGGGGAGTTGGGGGTAATGCACCTTTTTTTTTTTCATGGTTGTCTGTCACCTGTACTGAGACGGTCTAAAGGACACGTGATCATTAGCTTCTTTAAAAACATAAGACTCAATTTTATTCAATATACAACGATGCGTCCACAATTTTTTTGTTCTTTCATCATTTATTTACTTTGTTTTTTTTTTTTTTTTACTATCAACAACAATAAATACTTAGCTTCGTTTGATAGAGAGGATGAAAAGTATAAAATATACACTTTTATTTTTTTGTATTTGGTTGGATGGATAAAAAATAAAAATGAGTTTTTTTTTTTTTTTTGTAATGGCTAAGATTAAGGGTGACAATCGAGTTGTGTCGTGTCAAATTCGTGTTGAATTATTACGGATTTGTGTCGAATATTAGTCAAACCTAACTTAACTCATTTAACTAATTGTGTCGTATTGAGTTGCGAGTTGACCTGTTTATTTTCGTATCAAATTCGAGTCGTATCATCGTGTTGAGTCGAAAATTTTTTACTTTTAGTTAAGATAAAAAAAAATTTAATACCTATAAATAAATAAACAGATATATATATATATATATATATATATATGTAAATAATAATTCACGGGAGTGCAAGGTCAGGAGTGAGGTCATCAACATCAAAGTCTTCTATTCCTTCATAAGGATCCTGAGCATATCCTGCTGGGAGTTCTGCTGAGGAAGATCCTTGGGAAGACGATGAGTCACATCTGAGTCAAGTTGCTCCAAGAGTTTCTTAAGGAGCTTTGCCTTGGACTTCTTCTTGCTGGACTTCTTCTGAGAGCCTTTAGAACCTTTGGATGAAGATTCTGCTGACTGGGCTTGTGTCACAGGAAGGTTAGCCTGGCTTGATTGAGCGGGCAGTTCCTTCAATGGCGTTGCTGGTTGTAAGGGACCTGGAACTACTACTGGAGTTGGTACCCTTACAGGGAAGTCTTGTTTCACCATTGTGATAATGTCACTATGCTGAAACCTGGGCCACCATTTGGCATAGAATTGTCGGGTTAAATTGAATCCCACAATTTCCATTGCCATTTGAGTATCCACGGGACTTTGTACCTGCAAAAAAATATTAGTAATAAGGGTAATGGGGACTCCTGTTTACTAGGACAGTAAAGGGAGTAAAAGATCTTAATCTGATCTTTAAGATCAGCTGGAAAGATTTCATCAATGGGACCATGTTGATGCCACCACTGATTAAACCATGCAGGAATATGACTTTTGAAATCTTTATGGAAATTTAAGAACCAGGAATGGGACAAATCCTCATTCTGGTAGAGTAATATTTTTGACCACGACTCAATGTAGTCATAGTAATTGAATTGTCTGGTGTGAAAAGGAAGTTCTCGGAGCAAAGAAGGGTGAGAACCCCATTCCTCAACAGGAATGATTTTGGTAATATACAAGCTATGATAGATAACCTTATTTGGGTTTGTCTTATCAAAAATGGGCTTGGTAAAGATAAAGCTAATGGCTGTAACCCATATTGTTCACAAAAATTTTCTAATTCATATTTAGCCTTATGATTTTCATTTGTTAATTGCTTATTGATTCTCAAATCAACACACCATTTTAATCCTACATTTTGGATGGTGCTAATGAGTTCTCCATAAGCAAGATTATCATATTCAATGATTCCTGTGTCTTTGCTAAGAGTTTCTCTAACCTTATGGGCAAAAAGATTAGGTAGTCCATTAACAAATTTTTCTTTCCAGAAAGCTTTCTGGCAGTCTGGGCGAACCATAACACGAGAAACAAAGACATCTTTATACCACCTAAAGTCACTAAGTGTGGGACATTTTAGGTTGGTCAATTGGTCATGGATACTAGCAGTTATGCTACTAGGAGTGCCAACAAAGTGTTTGATGATGGTGAATATAAGGGTATTACATCCATCAGGTTTAGCTGTTCCAACCCTTTCATCAAAGATCGGAAGGCCTTCATCATCTCTGAGAACATCATTAATGATACTGTCTCTTTGTTCTTGGGTTAAATAATTATCCCACCAATTTCTAAGAACACCTGTGAATCCTGAAACTATTAGTTTGACAATCTCAGATTCAGGGCTATCTAGATTGGTTATATAATTATTTAAAACCATGGATAGATCAAAAGGATTAGTAAAATCTTCAGTCTGATCTTCTGGATCAGAATCCTGGGATTTTATAGAATGTTTTTCTGTTTGTAAAAGAGTTAAAACTTCAGCAAATTTTTTGTCTTGAGCTTTTAAATCTTTTATTTCTAGTTTAAGCTTATTAACTTCACTTTGGAGATCTTGTAAGGTGATTTCTTTTTTCTTTTCCTTACTAAATCTTTCCATAGTTTTGTTAAGGCTTATTAATGGTTTCTCTATAACAGGTTGCTTATTATCCTTTTTACTGAAAAGGTTTCTAAGCTGTTTTACATACTTATCTTTTAGATCTGGATCTTCTATCTTAGAGATTAAGTCTATAAGTATGTGTTCTTCATTTTAATCTCTTGTTTAAGAAATTTCACTTGCTTAGTTTTTCTGTTTATTACATTAAGGGACTGTGAGATGGAAACATCTTTTAGCTGCCTTAAATGTTTTTTCTCAGGTTTGGTAATAAATGTAAATACATTTTTTCTTCCAAAATGTTTAGTTGATATTCCATTTGTATCTGTACTAAAAGGGTACAAAAGATATATAAATGGAAGACCAAGTATAACCGAGTCAGTCATGTCTTTAACAAGTAAGAATGATGTTTCAAAACATACATCTTGTTGACATACATGAACTCTTGGAAGTTTGTATTTAACATTCATTTTACTGCCATTAGCAGAACTAATTCTTTCCAATGTTTTT